ATCTTTATCAGATTTTGATTCATCATCCCAAGTGATAGCGATGGCATTCTTCTTTCTCAAATGAGTGGGGCATTCTTGAGCAAAGTGGCCAAATCCTTGGCATTCATAGCATTGGAGTCTTTCAGAGTTTCCTTGTATCTTTCCTTTCTCCTTCTTGGCTATAGAATTAATTTTGAGTTTATCTTTGCCTTTGGATTTATGAGTATGAGTAGATTCCAAAAGATTAGGATTCTTTTTGAGAAAAGATTTTTTAAATTGTTTTACAAAAGGATCCGTAATCTTGGAATCTATCTCACAATCCTCATCAGAATTCTCTCCAGCTCTATGAGCACTACTAAAAGCAACATCTTTTTGTTTCTTTTTGAAATTCCTATGTGCCTCATAAGTTTTGGAGCTTTCCAACCAAATGATCTAGCTTAAGATTGTCAACATCTTGAGCCTCCTCAATAGCTATAACTTTTGGTTGGAACCGATCGGGCAAGGACCTCAAGATTTTTCCTACAATCTTGGATTCCGATATTTTTTCACCAAAATTGAAGCTGGAATTTACAATGTCACTCAACTTCGCATAAAATTCATCAAAGGTCTCACTATCTTTCATTGAAAGGTTTTCGAAACTAGACGTGAGCCTTTGAAGTTTTGAGCGTTTAACCGAAGGAGTGTCCACATAAATAGTTTGTAAGATATCCCAAGCCTCTTTTGCGACTTCACAATTGCAAATACGACTAAACTCTTCAGGTGTGACTGCGCAAAAGAGAGAATTGATAGCTTTACTATTCCAGCTACTATTTTGGTAATCAATTGTGTCCCACTTATCAATTGGTTTAGGGAAAGTTACTCCACCAACAGTAATCGTCGGTTCAGTCCACCCACACATGATAGATTGCCAAACTTTTTCATCAATAGATTTCAAAAACGATCTCATCCGAGCTTTCCAAAACGAATAATTGGATCCGTCAAGTAGGGGTGGTCGAACCATAGAATTTCCCTCACGAATTGAATCCATTATCACAACTCAAACAAGATCTAGCTCAAAAGTTTTAAAAAACAAAAGAGCGACCCGCTCCGATACCAATTGAAAAATCTAAAAATTCACTAGATATTGATTTGTGATTATGTATCAATTTAAAGCAATAAAACAATCCCAATCAAACAATCAAGACAAATCAACACAACGATTTTAACGTGGAAAAACCACAATTGAAGCACCTCCAATTGTGATAAAAAAACCACGGGCAACAACCACAAAACAATCCACTAAGAAGATATAAAGGAATTACACAGGTATACTCTTAATTACCTAGCGAATCCACGCCCGGATTGAACCAACCTCTATGTGTCTCTTCCAGCCCCGTCTTCACCTCGGAGTTGTCTTGATGATGAGCCACTCCAGAATCCACCAAAGCTTCTGCCTCAAATTCTTCAGAATCCACCGAAGAACAACTCTCTCTTTTGTATAGAAAGAACAAACAAACTTTTGATGTATTCTTCTTAACCCATGAGTTGAATACTCAATAAACATCAAAGAAAACTACCAAAATATCCCCAGGTATACACCTTAATATCCAAAAAGAAGATCTGGAGAAGTAATCCTAAAATCTGACAGAAACACGTACTTATAGAAATTTGGGACTGCGAAACTCGCTCGAGCGAAGACTCTCTCGCTCGAGCGAGGAACCAAAAACGCGTGTTTTCCATAAGTGGCTTCGCTCGAGCCATATAACCTTTGCTCGAGCGTACATTCATCCTTCTCAGGTTTTTTGCCAGACGCAGCCTTCGCTCGAACGAGAACTCCTTCGCTCGAGCGAGCAAGGGCGGACATGCAACTTCGAATGCAATTTTGCATTTTTCTTTGGGGGCGCTGCGCCTCGACCTCGCCTGGGCGCTGCCCGGAACCTGCCAAGGGGCACTGCCCCTTGGACCCCTGCGAGCTGACTGGGCAGCTCGATCCCCGTCATAATGAGCGAAGTGGCAATATTGAAAGTATTAACATCACAAACTTCTCTGCAAGGCATAATTCAGGTTGGATTCGCATCTAAAAACTCATAGCCTCACTGAAATAAAAACTGCAAAAGGAAGTACAACTGAAAGGAGTTTTGTCAACCGGGATTGCCAAGAATAAAAACCTAACAAGCTTGATTGGTTCGGTTTTGGAAGTAGGATCATTATAACAACTCGAAATCAACATACATTATTCAGATATGGCATAACACATATTTATAAGGTTGAGGAATTAGGAGAAGATGAAGCTATAGAACTCCTTAAATCGAAAGCCTTCAAGAAACACCAACAAATGGGAGGCTATGGAAAACTTGTACGTTGTGCAGTAGAGTATGCTAAAGGACTTCCTTTAGCTCTCAAAGTTTTGGGTTCATTTCTTTGTGGTCGAAACAAAGATGAATGGGACAGTACATTAAACAGACTGAAACAAAGCCCTCTAAATGAAGTTCAACAAGCACTCAGAGTAAGTTACGATGTATTACAATTGGTAGAGAAGGAAATATTCTTAGATATTGCACGTTTTTTCAAAGGGAAAGACAAAAATGAAATGACAAAAATACTAGAAAGTTGTGACTTCCACCCAATTATTGGAATAAAAGTTATTGTTGAAAAGTCTCTTGTATCTGTCTTAGACAATAAGCTGATGATGCATGATTTGATACAAGAACTAGGGTGGAATATTGTTCATCAGGAATCACCTAAAGAGCCTAGGCAGTGGAGTAGGTTGTGGCTTCATGAAGATTCAACACACTTGCTGATGGAGAATACAGTAAGAGACCTTATAGAAAAGTGTGAACACTCTCAACTTATTTATTTAACCAAGCTAATTCAGCATAATTTTGTCAGCCTTTTAATGTTGTGCTGCTGTTATTTTCTTGTGGTTATTAGGGAACAAAAAAGGTTGAAGGCATAGTTGTGGAGTATACTAACCTTCAAAGTTAAGATCGAAAGGACATTGGCCTAAAAGAATTGAAGTTGAGGCCTTAAGATTTTACAAAGATGTCGAACTTGAGAATTCTCAAAATTTGTTGTATTTACCTCTCAGAAGACCTCAAATATCTTTCTAACGAGCTCAGCTATCTTGATTGGTGCAGATACCCTATGAAATACATGCCTTCAACATTTCAACCAGAGCATCTTGTTGAACTTCACTTAACATATAGCAGCATTGAACAACTTTAGGAGGGAGCAATGGTATGAATATGCATTCTATTTAATTACTCTAACTAAGATGCAAAGTCCTTGAAACAATATATTTTCTGCAATTCCTATCTATCTTTTTTTTTCCCCCCCTTCAATAGCATCTAGACATGTTAAGGATCATGAATCTTAGTCACTTGACATATCTAGCCTAGTGCCCAGACTTCACAAGGATTCCAAATCTAGAAAGACTGATTCTTGAAGGCTGTACTGGTTTGGTTAACCTTGATCCATCCATTGAAATTCTTAAGAGTCTTATTTTCTTGAATTTGAAGGACTGCAAAAATCACGTGAGTCTTCCAGGTGGCACTCAATTGGAATCTCTTGAAGTTCTTAATGTCTTTGGGTGCTCAAAGCTTAAGAACATTTCAGTCAACTTTGGATGTATGAAATGTTTATCAGAGCTTTATTTTGATGGGATTGGTGTAAGTGAACTTCCACCTTCAATTGGACATCTTACCAATCTTGTTTTGTTGAGTCTGAGCAATTGTAAAAACTTGAGAAGTATTCCGGACAAAATTTGCCAGTTGAAAACTTTACAAGTCTAAATCTTTCTGGGTGCTCCAAACTTGACAAACTGTCGCAAGACGTGGGTGTTCTGAACTGTTTAAAGGGGCATCATGCAGATTGCACTGCAATTAGACAACTCCTTCCCTCCATTGGACTTATGAAGAAATTTGAAACATTATCCTTGGAAGGGTGTAAAGGAATAGCATCTTATTCATGGAGTTACTCTCTCTTGCCTTCAATTTTACAAAGACAGAGAGAGAGTTACACAACTTTGGAACTACAAGCTTTGTTAGTGTTGGAGTCTTTGAAAAAACTATATCTCAATGACTGTACTTTAAAATCTATCCCCACAACTATTTGCCACATCTACTCGTTGCAAGAGTTAGATCTAAGTAGAAGCAATATTGAAAGTATACCTGTAAGCATGAATAAACTTTCAAATCGGTGGTCCTTGTGTTTGGTTGGTTGCAAGAGGCTTCAAAAAGTACCAGAGCTTTCATTAGATATACGTGGTATAGCAGCTAATGATTGCACATCATTACGAACAATATTGAGTTTGTCCAAACACAATAATGTTGAAGAGTTTTCCTTCACGAATTGCTTCAAACTTGTTGAGAATGAGCAAAACAACATCCTGTCAGTAAAATTTCTTTCAAATCAATTTCAGGTTCTCTGTGTGTGTGTATGTGTGTGTGTGTATGTGTCTAAGCATTGTGACCAATCTCTGTTGTACAAAGACATTTGAATGGCAATGGCAAGAATCTGCTTTTTTTATTTTCCCCTGGAGTGAGATTCCAAAGTGGTTCAGTCGTCAAAGTAGGGGGTGTTCACTGTTGTTTGAGTTGCTTCCACATTGATATAATGACAGGTTCTTGGGAATTGTTGTCGCTGTTGTTGGAATCAAGAATAAATGCAAGTGCAAGGATTATTGTATTGAGGTTGGATTTAAATGCCTCGATATTCAAATGATCATTGGACAAAGCCATGAAAACGACCTAACATATTTTGAATATTCGAATCATCAAAACTTGGAAGTTATATATGTCCCACGTAATGACTTTCCAAGTTCAATGTATGATGATGATATGGAGCAATTCAATGAGGGTAGAATTGAATTTCAAGCTTGTTTAGTTCATTACGGTCATTACGTTGATTGTTTAACTAAAGCAGATGTGATTATACGAGATGTAAAGTTGGGTGTCCGTTTAGTATACGAGAAAGAAGATGACGAAGAAGCATGGAGTATGGACAGCTGTGATTCGGAAGATAACATGGGTGTGTTCCATGGAGACTTGGAAAGATCAGTAGAAGGAGCAGGAGTAGAAGTTGCTAGTCCTAGTACTACTTCATCAAAGAGAAGACACGGTGACCTCAATGACAACCATGACTACGATGCAGCAGTAGTAGCAGCAGGACCCAGTGGCGGATTTGATGATCAGGACAAGAAAGAGGACCACCCCACAGCAAAAGGCTTAGACAGGCGAGACCAAGTGAAAGTGGTAGCTTTGACTATGTACGTACCTTGAACTCAGTTTGCAAATGTCTCCAATCACAAGTGAGGTAAAATTAGAATAAATATGACACATTTATTTAGGAAAATTTTCAAATGGGTTGAATTGACCTAATTTCAAACAAGCCGTCCAAATTTTTAACACAATGATAATAAAATATAGATATGGTCCTTAGAGAATGTGCTACCTATCAGTTTTCTTCGTAAAGTTTGTGATTTTATTCTATTGGTCCCTAAACATATACGAAGAAGACAAAACATAGTCTTACCTTGTTTAGGGATGAAATTGAAAATTTAGAAACTAAAGTAACACAAAATGCATACTTTAGGGACTAATATGTGTTTTATTATTATTAGGTTAATGATTTAGACGATCTTAATGTTTTAGAGTCAGTTAAATGGCCATTTACATTTGTTCCACCATTCATGATATCATAAATGCATAATATGTTGAATTGTTATACTTCAAATTATTTGTGTCAAGTATCTGCCTTTCTTTCCTCATTTCTAAATTATTCATGATCCCATAATTAATTAATTACTTATCTATATGTTTCAGGGGTTGAAGTTTGATCAAGAGTCATGGATGTGTTCGTGTATATTAACTAAAGGAAGACTTTGACCCATGACCAATGAAGACTGTATTTTTGTACATTATAAATAGAGATAGATTTGGAGGCATGTGTGCTTTTGTTGTGGTTGATGTATGGTTAATGTTTAAACTGACCATGCAAGACAAAAAAATTTGCATGTCATCTGTAAATGATGTGTATGTAAATAATTGCATTTGGTACCTCGGTGGATACCATCATTAGACTGGGTATCACACAACTGAGGGAGTATCACTCTTGATTTTTTTACCCTTAAATATTTGGTGAGTTTTAGGAGATGGTGATGGCCAACAGCGAGGGTGCCTGGTGGTGGGGGTGGTCAGAGCTGGTGGTCAAAATGTTGCTATAGGTCACAGGGTGGCCAAAGGGTGGTCGGAGGTCACGGAGGTTGATCGGAGTGTGTTAATGGAGATAGGCCGGTCGGTGGTGACCGGTGGTGATGTATTGCGATGGTGGTGGTTGGAGGTGGTGATGGAGGAGAGATTGAAAACTTATTTTGACAACAAAAAAAATATAAATTAAAAAAAAAAACTTTTTATTTCCATTTTTAAAAAAATTTAATTCGATTAAACTTTTATGAGAACAAAAACAATATACCAAACAAGTGAAATTAATTCAAAAATATAGTGCAAGTGAAGTATGTGTTCTAGTGCAAATAAGGCCACAGTTTTCACTTGCACCGAAGCACAAGAACATAAATCTCCCAAATTTTCTTCCTTAGTCAATATCCTTCAAAACTGCTCATATGGAAATGGGCAGCATCTTTAAAAACAAAAAAGGAACTCAACATTTGCAACCAATATTTTAGTTGTCCATTCAACAATATTCTCAAGCAACTCTTGTACAAGCATGACATGATACTACCACCAAATTAGAGGTTGTGCTTGCTTTTAAATTTGAAGCGAGCTTCAAATGCCAGTAGGCAAGTATAGTGCTCCTTTTTAGCTATGATCAAGATCAAGATCAAGATAAAGACAACTGAGCCCACTTGATAATTGGCCATTATCGCCACAAAGAAGAGCTTTCACAATTTTCTTACACCATAGAAAAGATTGAATCAAAGATTAAGAAGTTTCAAACTTTCATTACATATCCATTGGAACTAGTATTTTAGTGTTTTTCTGCTTGGGCTGTATGAGGTGGAATTCTCATATATAGTTGTAAGAGGAGGAGTCTAACCTATCTCAAATAAAGAAGTGTGAACATACAGTGCTCATCAAAGCTGTAGCAACGCTTTCTCAGAGCTTGACTTCACATCAACCTCGGCAGGAAGGTCAAGCTGCATCAAGGAATCAATCATTTGGGCAGTCGGGTATAGAATATCAATGAGGCACTAATGAGTTCTGATCTCAAAATGGAACCTGGCATCTTTGTGGACATGTGAAGATCTAAGTACACAATAAATTCGCTTCTTGATTGGTAATGGCACAGGACCCATGGTCTTTGCACTGGTAGTCCTTGCAACATCCGTTATTTGCTTGCATGAATCCTCTACAAATTGCACCCAATATGACCCAAGTTTAATCCTAATTTTTTGCTTCAGTACCATCTGAGAATTGGCGAAAAACATAATAAGACGACCGGAATGTCACTAAGGCCAAGTTTGGAAAGATAAGAAAAAGTCAAAAAGTTAAAAAGTTATTCAAAAAGTTAAAAAGTTAACACTATTCATCAAAAGTCAACAATTACGCCTGCACAATTCTCAATCTTAATTTTTTCTTACAAATCATTCAATGCCAAACAGGGCCCTTCCTCCGGTTTCAAAATAAATAAACTGTTTTGGTTAATGCACACCAAACAGGGCCCTTCCCGTTTACTATCTGTCTTGAATTAATTCAAATCTGTTTGGATATTCAAAACCCAACAGGATTAGATACCTGTTCAATTCAAACCAAGAGCTACATACCTTGTTTATTTCAATCCAAGAGCCACCTTCACATCTATAAATAGGACCACCCTCATTTGATGTTTGCATTCAGAAAATTTCGTATTTCACTCTGTTTTCTATTCTTCATCTGCTGCATTTTTATTTCCTAAAGAAAATTGTAACACTTAGTGTGTTCGTAAGGCAAAACAGTTAGTAGGCTGCTATTGTTTGTGGTAGATCATTTTATCCTGGGAGATAGACGTCCGAATTCTGAAAGCACCGTGGAGAGGACGAATCTGTCTTAAGGACACAGTGTTAAACACTGGACTGATCAGAAAACAATTCGAACAAATTAAATCAAGTAAGTTATTTAATTACTTTCAGTGTTGTTTTTATTTTGTATTTATTCAGATTTTAATTTTGTTTTTGTAACAAAAAATAAAATCTGTTTTATATTTATTTATTTTATTTCGAGTTTGATTTTTGTAATCAAACATATTCTCTCCTTTTCTCTATTTCTTTTATTTCTTGTTTGTTGTTGTTCACAACAGAAAAATCCTTTTAAATACAGTGAAGATTGTCTAACAAATCCACCTCATATCCTCCCAAGTAATGTAATCCATGGTGTAGGCTTGGCTCTTTCCAGAGCCCACTTCAATGCTTCCCAAAAACAGTTACCAAAAATCCTGCACAAGTGAAACCATAACTTGATTTCCTCAAACCTTTGATGTTCTCTTTGTGGGTATCTTTGAATTTGAAAGTTGATGGAGTTGGACAAAGGTGCAAAGGTGGTGAGAAAGAAGTGGAGGCAATAAATATAGCAGGGTGATGGTGGTGTGAAAAGATGGTTTGTTGAGTAGTTATGGAACTCCAAGAGACATTGTATACTAGTAGTAGCAGTGTTGGCACACACTATATGGTGTGTGCGAAGTGATAATAATAGATTGATAATTACAAATTGAAGCAGTAAAAATAAGTTTAAAAATAGCTCTAAGCGCATGGATGGATCTAGGGGACAGTAACACCTATGTATATTATACTAGTAATAATAAATAATTTTAAAAAATGAGAAGTTGTATGTATATTTGTCTCCCAAAGTTCATCCTAATTTGTCATTGTCTAAGTAGTTAAAGCGTCGGCTTTGTCTATACCACCGTAATTGTTGTTTTATATAGTATAGATAGATATACAGTTTTATATGGATTAAGCTTCTCTTGTGTTAACTTCTTAACATGAGGAACTTAAAAGGGCTCGTGGAGCCCACTAGAGGTCCCATTTCGATGAATCGAACAGTTTACTTTTTAGGACTCGTTGAGTAAAACGTTCATGCAAAAAATCAAAATAATCAAACATCGGTAGTTATATGTTTGACCCAAATTTGTATTATAAATAGGTGGTTATTCTTGAACTCATATTTGTGGTCCATTTTTTCAAAACAAATATGATTCAAACATATAGTAATTGATGTTCAATCATCTTGATTTTTGCATGAATATTCTACTCAACGAGTCTAAAAATTCGAACGGTTCTGATCAAAATCGGTTTCAAAATGGTTTACTAAGTCCAAACGTTCTCTCAGTTGGTATTGCTCTCTCAAATTGAGATGGAAACTTAAAAAAAGTTAAACCTTTTTTATATATTATATTTACATATTTATATAACGGTTATGGTTCTTCACTTCAGCTGTGTTTGTGGGGGGAGGTGAAAAGTCACTCTGTTCTATGATAAAACATGCTGGGGTGAGCACAAACAGTAGTAGGGTCCTCAAAAGCATGAAACATGTATTACTCTCAAAACGTTTTGTAATTGTTGGAAAAATGGTTTTTATAGGCTTATTTTGGGTCAATTTGAGCTCAGTTTGAGTAGGACCCAAACGTCTTTTGGAATGAGTCCAAAAAGGTGACGTGTTCCTTGCCGCATAGCAAGTCACACGGTGAAGATGGTTTATCAAAACCATTTATGAGTGAATAGAAAGTTGACGTCGTTTTCGGTGTTGTGGAATGGACTTTAAAGAATTTAATATGGGTTTCTTTGTAAGGTTTGTTCCACATTGAATATTGAAGAGAGCTTATGTGTGTATATAAGTTCTAGGTGACAACACTTGGGTTGGATCTCAAGAGGCAACCCAAGTTTGTAGAAGGGAGGAGTTTTGAACAAAGTGAACTTTAACCCAAAACACCACACGTGAGCGCGGCCGCCTGTCCATCCAACTGGCCGGCTAAGCCGTGCTGGGCGCGGTTGTGGGTCGGGTTGGTTCTAATATTAATTTTTTGACAAAAATATTGGATTTTTAATGAAATCAAATTCAAAATTTATGTCAAAAATTGAATTAATTTTCTGTCCATTTTTATCTCCTTCAGTCCGAAATTTCCAACAGGTTAACTGCAGGAAACTATCATAACTGCCAGCAGTTACACAAGTAGAAACTGCACAGTTTGGACAGATCATACAGTTCAGACAGATCTTTTGATTTTTGGATTGCATCTGTTCATTCTAAAATCTGCACCTGTTCGTTCAAATTGAACCTGTTCGGGCAGATATTATGCCTATAAATACTAGCATTATTCCAGCAGTTTGGACATCCAAAAACAATTTGAAAATTTCATTTTGTTGTCCAGATTTTGTTCTTTTGTAAAATTTCTCTTCATATTAGTTTATTAGGAAAATTAAGAAAGTATAGAATACAAGGTTTTTGTTCGACGTACAAATTGTTTGGAGTGCTACTATAATTTGTGAAGATTATTATATCTTGGGAGATAGACGCCATTTTTATTCGTAAGCACCGTAGCGGGGCGAATCTGTCTTAAGGACGCAGTGTCATACACTCGACTTGATCTTTTAATTATTTATTCGGTTCGGTAAAATAATTTCGGTAAATAATTTATTTTTATTTTGTTGATTTGGTTTCAATTATTTAATTATACAGAAAATTGTTCCAACAGTAATTACATTCACATCTGTATGAATTTACGTTTACTCTCGTGAATCTCTCTCTACAGGAACATGAGATTTATTCTGTGTCATATTTGTTAAGTTTCAATGTTCACTATATTCTTGGGCAAATTATATTGTCATTCTTGTAATTTGTGTCAATTTTACTTTTAATCTTTTACAATTATAAATTTAGACTATGTGATAATGTCGCGTTAAAAAAAAAAAGCACAAAAACTATGAGTAAAATGATGCATTTAAAGAGAAATGAATGATTTCAAATTGGATGTCACGCCTCTAATCAGTTTGAAAAGAGTGAATGAAATATGTTGTCTATTTATTTCAATCTAATTTCTAAGTAGAATTTATCAATTGAACTAAACTAACATATCATGAAAATTTTAAAAATAAAATTGAAGTCATACCATTAAAAAAATTAAATTAACATAATAAACAAATTATAGAAACTGTAGATGAAATTTGTCCAAATTCTTATACATGTTTGAAATTTAGTGGCTGCATAGAATCTAGTGAGATTTTTCTTCTTGAATTTTAAATACATTTTATTTTATTAAGCAAAAGACATATTTTAAAATATTTTTATGACAAAAATCAAATGTGAAAAAATACTTATTTTGACTAGAAAATATTTTGTGAGACATGCCAATCTAAATCATGGCCATTAAAAAAACAATGCTAGTGATATAAAATTTTCTACCAAACATTTACATGAGTTTTAGAAAAAAATTTCTAAAAAATTGTTTGGTTTGAGTTTTTCTCAAAAAATTTCAAAATCACTTTCTCTCTCTTACACATCAATTAATCACTTTTTCTCTCTCCTTCTCAATCACTTTTTCTCTCACACACATCTGCTCAAATTTCCCAAAATATCAAATCATCACAAACTCCTAAAAAACAACTCTCCCAAAAATACAACCAAACAAACCAAAAAATTTCTAAACCTCTCCCCCTAATTTTTTTTTTTCAAAAAAACTCTCCCAAAAACAAACCAAACAAGCCCATTATGTTCATGTGAGTATTGATAAAAAATTTAGAGTATGTAGCGTTTTGATAAAAAAATATTTTCTAGACCTAACAAAACATATAATATTTAATTTATTATTTTAATTTTTTATAAACTACATTAACCACTCTTAAATTTAGAAAAAAAAAAATATAATAAAAACCAAGCGTTTGGCATTATTACACAACCTCCATTTTTGTAAGATTAAAATTAAACATAAATAATGCATAGGGTGTGTATATATAAGCGTAAAAATATAAATTAGATAACCACATTAATTTCATATACAAACGATAGTAAGGTCAGTTTGACATATACAAAAAATTCATCTTTTTATGTTTTTTTCATCACATCACTCTCTTACTTTTTTCACATCTTTTCGTAAAAAAATAAAAAATACACTTATTTAGGTCATCTCAAACAACCCTTAAATTACAAATAAAAATAGAGCAAAGCATTACTATATAAATTAAAATTTGAAAAAAAAAATTCTAATGCATTCTATTAAATTTGTGAGACTCTCGATATGTTTTTTTTTTTTTTTTTTTAAAAAAATTATATTTATCTAAATATTTTTTGGTCCAAATAAATTGTTTTTTAAAAATTATTGAAATAGGGTAAAAAGAAATTTTACATTTGGACAACACTGCAAACCGTTGCATACCAAGCAAGCAAGCAACAGCCTGGTCGGGTTGTAAGAGAGAGAATCAAGCCCAAGCTTTCTCTTCTCTCTTTGCCCTCAACTTATACGCCGCTAAAAGGCCTAAAACCCTCTCGATTCATCTTACTATTAGGGTTTTTGCTGCACCT